TGCAATCAAATGAATGTTTTCAAAAAATCAGAAGGGCATGTGCATTTGCCATAATTTAATATTATTTGAAGTACAGAAATTAAAATTAACAATACTGTTCAATTTTAAATGTATATTTACTTTTAAAAGCAGATGATTGTGAAGACATGTTTTTGAATTTAAAAATCTATAAACAGATTTACAACTTCAGAATACTTTTCCATCTGTGAGACTTTACAATGTTACTTATTTCTTGAATTTCATTTTCTCCAATTATAAAATGGGGATGATAAGAATTATAAAGCCTATTGTGTCAAATGAATTAGTAAATAACATAGTTAAACCATAAAATTCTTCCCCCTCTACCCCCCGGTGAAAGATCATTTTTTAAAATTTGTTTTGCTTTAATTTTCAAACCCTCAGGACCAATATTTTCATAAAAAACGATGAAAACCAATAATCATAAACAACAATCTTTACAAAACAAAGTCATATAAAACATAAGCCAAGGGTTTTAAATTTGTTTTCATTCAACAAATATCGGATTGCTACAAAATTCACTAAATACTCACTCTCAATTTCTATACTTCTTTTATTGGAGAATAGCAAAAGTAATTTAACAGGCTCTGCGTTGTGGGCTTTTAAAATAGAATTGCTGTGTGTCACTGTGTATTGAATGTTGTGTGTGGATGTATTCTCAGTGAGCTGAGGTCTCTGAGAAAAAAACTATTATATATACACACATATTTGTGTATTTGTGATTTAATTTTCATAACTTTTCAAAAGTAATACAGGTGTGTTCTGCATCTCCTGACTGACCAGAAAGTACAGTTGCATGATGTAAGTGCCCAAGTTTATGTTTATGTTTAAAATTAAGTCAGCAATGGGCACTATTACTTTAAATGTCAAGGTCTCATACAAAAAGACCAAAGAAAGCTAAAGAATCCGATACTGCAAACAATCACTTATATTAAATGGGAAAGCTAAGCCTTAGATCTGCATCTTTTAATTCTTACTTTAATATGCTTGATCATAGTTTTACAATAAATGCATACCAGAAATGACTCACACAATTTTTTTCATTTTGAAGCACATTTTATCATCGTACAATGTATGAGAAAAGAATAAAACCAGACCCTTGATTGCCACTGTTCTTTAAATCACAATTTATGTAACATATTCCCCTGTATCTACCACATTTTTTTTGCATACTTACAATTTTTTTTTTTTTTTTTTTGAGACGGAGTCTTGCTCTGTCGCCGGCTGGAGTGCAGTGGCACGATCTTGGCTCACTGCAACCACTGCCTCCCAGATTCAAGTGATTCCCTTGCCTCGGCCTCCCAAATAGCTGGGACTACAGGTGTGCACCACCATGCCCAGCTAATTTTTGTATTTTTAGTAGAGATGGGCTTTCACCATGTTGGCCAGGATGGTCTCGATCTCTTGACCTTGTGATCCACCCACTTTGGCCTCCCAAAGTGCTGGGATTACTTTCGTGAACCACCGCGCCCGGCCACAAATTTTAATGCTAAATCAAAAGTCAACAACAGAATGTTCATTAAATCTACCTTGGACTTTGAGTTTGGAGAGTTGGCATCTTTTTCTGGCTTGATATACTAGAGGCTGTCTGCTATTTAAGGCCTTAAAGGGAGGGTCAGGGGAAGCACATTGAATGTATTTAGTCTATGATCCATATTCTAAAGGTTTTTCATTGCTATTCTGTTTATTTTGAGGGAAAAGATACAAACATGGAAAGTACAAAATAAGATTATATATAAATGTATATATATATAAATGGCCCCACATGTGTGTTTTGTAATTAAATATACTAGTTCAGAGAAGAGGAAGCTGAAGCTCAACATGGACCAGATTCAGCAGTAGTAGTCTCACCGAGGGACATGACCAAACTTCAATATAAATTGTGCTTTCTTCCTTTTTTAAATTTTGGATTCAGGAGGTGTACATGTAGGGTTGTTTCATGGGTATATTGGGTGATGCTGAGGTTTGGGACACAGATAAACCATAAAATTCCGTGTATAAGCCAGATACAATTATTTACGAGTGTGGACTGTATTCAAATCATTTCTATATATTTGATATATCACTGTGGAACGGACAAATTGAGTAAGAACAGATACATGGTAGTCAATAAGGGCAGAGTAACATAACAGGGAATTGACAGTGCAGTTTTTATCCTATAAAGTTTCATTTTATAGATATTATATTTAAAAGGTTGAATAATTAATTCAATGTTATTAATCTCATTTACATATGGGGCAGAATTGGGCTTGGAGATTTGTCTAACCATAGGCTCAAAGTAGATGGGACTTGAAACACAGAAATGAACAAAGAAATTGACCACTGGAACAACAGAAATAGATGAGTTTAGGCACTGTAAGTCAAAGAGTGAAAAAGGTTTTAGAGTTGGGTATGATCAGAAAGTTGAGAGCAGTACAGAATCAGAACTAACTCCTTGGTTGCTTACTAGGAAATCAAATGCAATGGTAGATGTATTGCTATTGAAAAGTAGAGCACAGAGAGAGAATAAATGGTGTGATATTCAGGATGTTTAACTCCACCTGGCATAGAAATTTAGTAAGAAATAGCTGACAAGCAAAGCAATAACAAGAGCTGCAAACAAGAGTCAGAGGAGTTAGGAAGTGAATCTTTTACAGGTGAAAAATGGGGCTCCACTATTTTTATTTTTCTAGATTCACAGAGCTCTTTATATTCCTCCGATTCTGGTGTTGATGAAAAATTGTTAGCAAAGAGCACTTTCTCCTTTAAAAAATGTATATATATCTGAAAAAAATTGAATATAGCCTTTTTAAACATAGTAGATCAAAGTAGTAGAGTTTTGGTTATATTATTTATATTTGCCTAAGCTAAGTAAACATCCTTCCATAGATCTTTATGAAAGGGTTTTAGTGAAGACAGCAGTTCTAAACACTTCATATAACACAGAAAATCCATGGCAAAAGTAATTTAAAAATGCAAATGAC